TGAATTTACCCACTTCAGCATTAATCAAATAGCTGCTTTGAATTCACGAACTAACACTTGAGAATGAACGAAGTTCCTCAAAGATGCATTTACGTTTATCTGACCAAATTCATGCAGACTCAGCTTCGCCTGCAGAACTTGCTCAGCTACACTTTCTCCCCCCCCTCTCTTTTTCTACTGCAAAAGGATACAGATGACAAAAGGAGAATATATAAGGGATTCCCACTGAGATTCAGCTCTATAAATTATGTATTATGCAGACACCATTCTGCTGATTCTATCTGTTCCCCAATTCTTGATTCCTTGTTTTTCTGTCTATAAATAGCTATGGCCAGATTTTCAGTTGAAAAGTGATGAGGACAAAACCAGAAATCTTTCCTATTAGTACTGTCTGCTTAAGATTCCCTCTCCCTTTCATACTGTGACGTCCTCAGGGCTTTAAGTCTCTGGGAATACAAGCAGTGCTATATCACTGATAAGCTAGTAGGGAATGGACTGAAATAACTCTTGTAAATATTTCTAAAATGACTTTTTTGTGGGGGGGGAGACAATTGTTTTATACCTTATCATCTGGATATTTTCATTTTTCAGCATATCAGAATAATATGTTATACTGTCATTTTTTTCCCCTAGACCCCAATGCTATGGCTGAAAAGGACGCAACGGACCACGCTGTTATAGGAGGGATAGTTGCTGTAGTTGTTTTTGTCACACTATGTTCTATAATTCTGCTTGGTCGATATCTGGCAAGACATAAAGGTAGGCTAGATTTAATCACAGTGCAGTCACCTTTTGTAGCAATATTTCCTAGTGATTAGTTTTACCCTGCAACACTTTTTTTTATTTAAGAAACTCTTCTAGACCCCAGGAAAACTCAGCTCTGATGTTACAGCATCAAGTTTTGGGGGTTTTGTTGTTGTTTTTTTAGTGAGGTCCTGATTTTTACCCAATTTTACAGCTGGATTAACTGTGGCAAAATAACATCTAGCAATCTGCCCAAGGTCACACAGGGTGTCTGTCTGACTCGGAATCAGGCAGTTGGGATTCTGTGTCATGCAATAGACCCCCACTGTCCCTTAATTTAACGAGTTTGTAAGATAAAAATTCTATATAAATAGGCAGACAAGCAGATAAGATAGACAGTTGTGAACTGCTGGGTCTCAAAAATGCTTTTTTTTCCCCAACCCTCAAGACAGGAAAGATACTGACCATTAAATTCTGACGTCCTAACAGTCATTTTTAAGCCGGGGGGGGGGGGAAGTGTGGTGCAAAATGGGCATGTACATTTTGGGGATTTTTCTCCCTGGATGTTTTATCCTCTTTCCTTAATGGAATCTGTTGCCTTTTTCTTTCTTCAAAAGTGCTTCAAAGAACTGAGCACTGCACGATATGGCAAGGCAAGGGAGAAAGGCTACGCGTCTTTTCCCCATGTCTTCCTCTGCCTCATGTCACGCCATTAAGAGAGTTGGGGCATGTTAACATCTGAATCGGGAAAGGCTGACTGTTTTGAATCAATGCTTGGATGAGGGCCAACAAACTGAAATTGAATCCCAGTAAGACAGAGACTCTATGGGTGAACAGTTCCCAGGTGTTGGGGACTTTTTCAGTTCTAAAGGGAGTAGCACTCCCTCTGAAGGATCAGGTATGCCGCTGTGCGAAACAAGCACCAGTTATCAACTTAGGCTGGTATGCCATCTATGTCCTTTTACTGGATAGTCTGACCACCATGATTCATGTGTTGGCCACCTCTTAATTGACTACTGAAATTAGCTCAACATGGGACTTCCCTTGAGACTGGAATGGAAGCCACAGTTGGTGTAGAACAATGCAGCCAGGTTGTTAGTGGAGCCCCTGGGTGAGCAGATATTACACCTGTGCTGAGGAAACTGCCCTGCTTGTCAGTCACTTACTAAGCCATATTCTGGGTCTTGTTACTAATATATAAAGCTTTGAACTATGTGGGACCAAGCCATCTTAAAGATCAATTGCCCCCGTATATACCTGCAAAATCCCTTAGATAATCTAGGGACATTCTACTCAAGCTGCCATTGCACGCTACACAATATCACAGAGTGGTAACATGAAAAAGGGCATTTTCCACCCTTGTCCCTGAATTGTAGAATGTCCTTCCCTCTGCCATATGTGAAGTGTTATGCAGCAGTTCCTTCAGACATGCTATAAAGACATACCTTTTGTCCAGGCTTCCCCTAACCCATAAAATGGAACACTGCTATTACTTAATTCCTTCCTTTGTTCTGTTTTTTTTTTTTTAATAATGCCATTTCACTGTTGATTTTAAGTTGGGTATCAGGTTTTTCTTTATGATACGGCTGTTGGTTTTATATCTATATTTCTTTACTGCTTAGAGATTTTTAAATATTAAATGGTTTAGAAATGCTTTTCAGTAAATAAGTATTTAAAAGTAATGCAGAAATATATGAATAGGCTGGGCATATATACATATGGCTGCCCTATCTTATCCACATATATCCAGTCCTAGCACACATTGGTTTTTTGATTATGGGTTTTTTAAAAAAAAAAAAAAGTGCAAAAAAATACACTATGGTCATTGCTATATTCTCATTTTTCTACAACATCTTCCCACTGTCTTTTAATCATAACCTGCATTATTAGAACTGTTCATGTAATTTGCAATAAGCACCTACTGAAGTGTGTTCCCTTGTTCACCTGATAATCAGAATATTGTGTAAGATAAAGCTGCTTGCTATCTAGGCCAAGACCATTTCCTTAGCTAATTCATACAAGCTAATCAAGAATGTTTCCTTTTAATTTTTATACCGTGTATAAGGTATGTCATTTGATCAGTCTACTGGAAAACATGACACCTGTGTTCAACTAATGCAGGAGGGCCACACGCATATCCCAGCTCTGAAATAACCAAGCTTTTCCATTCAGTAAAAATTGGCTTTTCAGACATCACTGAATGTTGCTGCACAGATCCAAGATTTGCTGTACTAGCAAATAAATCCTTACAATAGCATACCCTCTATTGTGTCAGTGTTAAAGGAACAAAGCAGGAGGTAGGAGCAGCAATGCAGACATTTTATATTGGCACAGAAAATTAGGAATAGCGTCTCAGGTTTACTATTCCCAGTGTAAGTGGGCAATGAAGTAAGTGGGCAAACCTAGCATAGCTATTGAAGGGCACAGTGCATTTTGTGTTGATTGTCTTTAAACTCTTTATTTCAATCAAAAAGTTATGCACAATTAACATTGTCCAACTAAAAGTACATCAGATTTTGATGTGCTAATTTTGAAATCACAGCGTATACAACTTGGCTGAATTATAACTTCTATATAACAAAGGAGCAAAATAATCATTTTGAGACATTCCCCCCCCCCAAGCTTATTGTTAATGTGTCCTTGACAGATCTTAGTGCAACATGCTCTTTTTACTGTTTGTATGTACTTATCATCAAAGAAAGGCCATGGGTCACAATCGCTTCTTTCCCAAAATGGAATATCATGTGTGCTGTAAAAGTTCATTCTACAGTAGTGCAATGACATACATCCTGATCCTCACCAGGATCCATTAGAGAACCACATTGGAAAAGTATCAAAGCCCCTAACATTTTTCTTTTAATCACATTGTTTCCTGCAGGAACATATTTAACAAATGAAGCTAAAGGAGCTGAAGATGCACCTGATGCGGATACAGCCATTATCAATGCAGAAGGCAGCCAAGTCAATGCAGAAGAGAAGAAGGAATATTTCATATAGATGCAGACTTAGGTTCTCTGAGTATTACTCACCAGGCTGACTGCTGGAGAAAATTGGCTCTCATCTTTCAGAATTAATTTTTCCCCATCATTTTTTGCTACCTTTATTAATGTACACAAATGCTTTCAGTAGCCAGTTTATACCAACAATCAGCCATGGACAGCATTTCTTTTCCTTTAATTATGGTACCATTCATAATGCAGGACATTTCTTATTGCCTAATCATCATATCCATTGCTCTCTTAACATACAGTGCTTGAATATACAGCCTTAACAACTTTAATCATCATCTGTTCAGTTTTTCTACGTTTTTTAAAAACAAAATGTTATATAGCATTTCTTTTTGGTTTTATTTTATCATGGTCCTTACCGGTATTGCACCAGGCCATTTTCATAGCAATTGTTCTGAAGGTGAGGACCTCAATGTACTTACATAAAACATTACAAGTAAGATTAGAGGTTTACAAAGAATGTTTTATATATGTCTATAATTCAAAAATCAGCCTAGTTTTGAAACATTATGCCCTAGGAAACACCAACTGAAAGCATTCTAGTATAATTTCTTGTGTGTTTGCAAATGATAGCAAAGGGGTATGAACAGACCTTTTATTTTAATGGCACATTGGTACTAAAGCAAGTCTGGGTGGTAACCACATCATGCCGTTTGTCTATACAGAATCCACAGAGATGGATGATGTAGCTCCATTTTGAAAATGTTTGTCCCACTCTTTTACTGCATTTAGGATCATAAAGACTTCCGTTATCTATTTCTGTAATTTCTGGTTTTAATTTAATTTATTTGATTCATGTGGGCTCACCTGCCTTCTCAAATTGGACATGTTCATGGGGCACAATTGCAAGGCATTTTAGTATCTGTATATAGTGCATATAATAAATCCAATTAAACATTATTTGATACATATTTAACTTTTGGGGCTGTAGGTAAGTCAGTCACAAGTAAGCATTTTCTAATGTCCATTATATCCCTTTAGATATGACTTAAATTAATATTCTGAGTAGATAACATGTATTAGTACTTTTGTCTGTATGTCCTAGCACTGTTCAGCAGCAAACTTTTCTAGTTCCAGGTTTTTTTTTTCTCTTTGTTATACAATGGAAGCACAATGTTATATGGAAAGGTAGTTTTAAGCTAACAACCAGTGCACAGCCTCAGGTTTTAAATTCCAACCACATTAATGATTAATGATTAAGTTGCTAAAATTTTCAATATATAATTTGGCAGTTCCAGAGCTGCTTATCAATGTTGGATTTGCCAAAACACAAACAACAAAGTGTTACAACAAAAAGCTCTATGTTTTGTGTATACGGTAAATGGACTAATTCTTTATATTAAATTCCTGTCTATGCATTTTGTGAGGTACAAACTTATGTCACGGTGAATGATAGAGAATATCTGCCATGCTTTTAGCTCCACAGTAAAGACCTCTTTTTGAGATTGTTCTCAAAATGTGGGGCAAAATGACATCTTTAAAAGATAGTCACAAATTCTAAATCTACCATAAAATAAGCTGATTGGCTCGATTCCTCTTCCAGAAAAGACGTGAAACATCACCAGATGCGCTTACTGGTCCCATGTCAGAAGATTCAAATCAGTAGCGATTGCTGTTCATCTCCTAAGTGCTGCACCTTAAAATAAAATAAATAAGATTTCTATATGGATGCTATTACTGGTGAAGTCTAAAAGCATAATGGCCTATTGTAAAGGATTATCTCCTGGGATTTATTTTTTGCGTGGGGGGAGAGGGGAGGAGGGAGGGTAGCATTTGAATATGACATCATGTGTCACAGTAAATGGAAATCAAAGGTGTTGTGTCAGATTATTTATCAGAAGAGTATACACCTTTTAAGGACAATAGTAGTTTTTAAATTGTTTTTGTTGGAAAAAGAACATTTACCTTGTTAATTTCTATGAGAGAGAAAAAGAGAGACCATCAATCAAGCAGCACTTTTTCAAAGTATACAGAACATAAATAATATGATGTGGTTGAGTGTTAACATAATAAATCATATACAGTATGACATTTTAAAGAAATACGTCTGCATTGATGTGATTGCATGCTTGTTTTTACCGTTCACTCCAGATCATCTGTGGGGGGAAAATGCAATAATCTGCTAATCTAGTATGGTAGTTTGAGAGATTCAGGTAGGAGCTACTAGACACATTGATACTAGTATAGGTTTACAACATAGTCAAGTTGTTCAAGGAGTACATTTTTTAAAACAATACTGGCAAAAGGAATTAAGCTTGCTACTACTGGGAAGAAAAGGTGTTTGTCACAGCAGTTAGCTGTACCTTCAGAAACTGATTTATGGAACTAATGGCAAGGCCAGCAAAGAACTTAACTGTGCTTAAATGCCTTGCTGCATTAGGATTATGTTTACTAAAGTCACATGTCAATTAGTGCTGTATTTGCACATTTTTACATTCTTTATAAATTCCATTTTGCTTAAATGATATAGAAATGCTGCTTACATGACCCACCTCTTCATCACTGTGAAGTGAAATTTTTCAAGCATTGGGGCATCTTTAGATGTAACCATCCCAAAGTGTCTTGTCAGTGTAGCAAAAGGAAAGCAGTGGAACTTTGCAATAGTAGATAGGAATTGGACTGTTAACTTTTTCTTGTGCACTCTGTTGCAGTCAATTTTTAGAATATATATTCTACCTTGCACCTTGAGATGTATTTTACAACAGGCCAAAAAGGAACATGGAAGTACATCATGCAGTGTTAAGAGGATAATTCGGGCCTGTCATCACTTTCAATCATCTGCATTCATCCAGTTAAATCAGAGGTTCTCAAACTTTTTCTTTGAGAGAAAAGGGGGACTTTTGAAACAGAATAGTGACCATCTATTCTCTAACAAAATAAACATCCCATAAGCTAAACATAGTTTTAATATAAAGTCCTAGCCCTGTCTTTGACTTTAGCACAAGTACTAGCAATATTGTACCAGAGTGTAATAATACAGATACCGATACATTTTCTTAATATAATTTTATTACACAGTTTGTAATTCAACGGGGTTCAACAATCCAATATAAAATCTCTTATACACTGAGCTATAATTCTGGCAGTGCTGCCACAAAGATTCTTTGCACCAGTATCCATGGATCTGTGTGGATTTTGCACTAGCACCTGAGCAGATCCCAATTAATTCTGCTCCCTATTCAGTGCCTTTTTGACCAATAGAGATTGGAGGAAAGCAAGGAGAAACCAATCAGAGCAAAGAGCTGGGGGGAGAATCACATCATTGCTCTCAAGGTGGTCTTAGTTTGCTATAAATGGCTGGGAGGTGACTGGTTTCATGGTATCATTTTTTCTTCTTGGCTGACCTCCAGCTTGCTATATACCATAAGTTGACAGCTATATAAAGGGGTAGAAGATTACCTTTTCCATAAGTCGGGCATCCAGTATTGGTGAATAAGGCGACAAGAGCAACACACATTCATTGGATTTACAGATAGGCCCGATTTCTAGTCATATTATCTGATAAGGTTTTTCTGTTCGTATACATTTGATCCTAGTTTGAGAACCCCTGGTTTAGATGAATACACTGGGAGCAAGACACCAAAGGTCAATAGAAATGATTGCTTAATTTACAGTAATTGACAGGCATGAATGATGAAAGCCCCATGGGAACAACTAAGGAAAATGTGGAACATGACAGTTCTCATCATCAGTCAAAGGTTATCAAGTTATTGCCAATTTTCTCTTTAATATTAGTTATTTTATTTTATTTTGTTATCATTATCATTATTATTATTTTTAAATAATAGAATGTGGCATCTCACAGAATATGGGTGCATCTTCTTTCATTCTTAGATGTTATTAGCAAATCCAAGAAGCGGTTTAAGAAATATATATAATATGAGGCTCAGAAATGAACCAGGAACACCTACCATTTTGTTCACATTTATGGAAGGCAGATCACCTTGTGCTGAGATTCCTCCTATAAAAGATACAGGAGGAAAACAGTTGGTTTTTTCCCTATATAAACCAGCAAAGTGGACTTTTTGAATATGTTCTTCATGATGTAGGATTATCTACCTACCTATAAGCATCTCTCAGTGAGAAGAAAGGACAGTAGGTTATTTAATTTATGATTGTAAAAGCACTGGAATTACCATGTACGCAAATGTACATTAGGTATTTTGATCTTGACCGTGTGGTTACATGTGCTTCCATGTAACATCAGTTATAGTGTAATTTAGTGCCACTTATTATAAAGTGTTACCAAAAGGATAACATAACTCTTAACTTTACCTCTCTGTTGAGCTAAGGTAATTCTGATAAACTTAAAAATATGGAGTTAAAAAGAATTGTCATGGGCGCACTACAATGTTCTCCAAAACTTTCCTTGATTCCTCCAAGGAGCTTAGCTTCTCATTCATTAGAACTGGTATTTTTTTTTTAAATGAACATACCAAATACAAAAAAAAAACAGCTACTCAAATGTTCTGTAAACAAGCTGTTTTAAACAGAAGTAACCCGAGTAATACTTTGGGTTAAGTGGCACAAAGTACACACTAAAAACTATGCAAAAATATAGGTGACTACAGTGTACTCACATGTAAGTATCTTGTACTTTCTCTGTATGGATATTGGAAAACCATGTATTTATAATATGCATTTTGATTATTTTACAAGGAAGGAGATGGGTTTGCAGATTCAAGAATGGTCTATGAAAACGCATAGTGACCATTTGTCTTTAAATATGTGTATATTCCCAGCCACTTCCAAATAATATTTAATTTATTGTAAGCCGTATTTTCCTTGAAACCCAACTACCACTCTATTTTGTCTCTCGTCTTCTTCTATGGGTCCCATGGGGCTCCTTCCAAACACCTTTGGGGCAAAGACTTCAATTCTGCTAATAGCTCTGCTGCCAGCACTCTGTCTGGGAACATTGCTCAGTAATCTATTTCTAGCCCAACAGTACACGGTTGCTCTTTTTATCTTCCTTGAGGGAGCCTTGCATGCTAAGATGTTGAAAAGTATTGCCATTTGCCCTGGTATTTTTAGCTTGAGCAATGGAAAGAGAGCCACAGAGAGAACTGCATTCTCCTGACCCCTATTTCACTGAAGCACCTCACCTGGAATTTCTGCTATTTATTTCCCAATAACGTCAGGTAATCTTACATTGTGAGTACAAAATGCTTCCATCAAACCACGGAGGATGCCTTTAATGATAAAGTTAACTTTTTTCCAAACATGAAATTTTATATCATTGATCCTTTTCATCTCGTCATTTTTTCCATCATACCCTTCCAAAAGCAATGCATTGAAAGTAGTGAGATAACACAGAACAATCACAGACACAAGAAATATTGTTAAATTGAACACTGCAAAGCTCCTGAGCCTCTCCAACTATAGCTTTCCTTCTCTGCGAAGCATTATCATTATTGGCCAAGCTATTCATTCCACTTTCAGTTGTGCAATTTTAACTAGTTCCCATAATAAATGTACTTACATGGACCCCTTTTGTTGTTTAGATTCTGCCCTCCAGCTAATGAACCTGTTTTGTTTTGGGGGTTAAAAAACCTGCCCCTTCTATCATGTCCTTGAGCTGCTCTAATCATCCAGAGTTTTCTGCCCTTTTAAACCTTGACTCCACATATACACATGAGCAAGGTAAAGTCTTACACATTGTTGCATATACACATAGGTATTGCTTTTGACTAGTCTAATGATTTCACAACAGTCTTCATTACATTACTTGCTTCCTATTAATGTTGATACTTAGCACAGATTGACAGTGTTGTGTTAAACCACCAGATTCAATTTTCAGTACAGATATTGGTGAATTTTTTTCTTTTTAAAATTAAATTTTCTATCAGACAAAAATATAATCAGCAGTTTGATGCTCAAACTCTTGGGCAAACTAGGCAGAGAACAAAACAGAGATGATGAAGGTACATCAGATTGTGCAAATATTCATTGGAGATCACATCAGTTACTCTCAATAGGATGTGCATTTCTATTTGAGCTCAAATGTATACTTTCACCCACAGCTAATAAATGCACACGCACTGATATAATGTGCATCTGTTTGAAAAGTTTTTTTAAAAAATCCATGACACTCAATGGATTTCCCAATGGATATATAAAAACATGGGGGACAATCCGCACACCTCTAGCGTGAATCTACACCACAACCATTGACACTGACATTTATGGGAGTCACTTCTTGTCAAAACTATGTTCCTTTGCTGCTAGTTGTATCTTCCAGAGACGTTTTCACATTCTGCTTGCTAATGAACATAACCTGTACTTCATGTGAGCCCTGACAAGTATGGTATAGAAATAAATTATCAGATTACTTGAGAATGAAGTCTATATATATATATATATATATATATATATATATATATATAACCTTAAAATATAATAACTGTATTTACATAACAAAAGATATAAAACAAAAACAGAAAAAAATCAAGTACTGATAGCTGTAATAAGCAAAAACATTACAAACATTTTCTCAGGGTCTTTAAGGAACTAGCTTTTATTTAAAAAGTCTTGTCCAAATGATCTCTTTGCTCTTGTCAAAAAAGAAGGAGGATAAACCAAGATGATGTGAGGAGCTTCCTGAAATTTTATCTATGCTGGATTTATTTATACCCTTAAACTCATCAGCTTTACTAGTTACATCTAACTTAAAAGAGGCTCAAACACTTTTTAACAGTAGAGTTATTTAAGTTTCATTTATTGACTTAAAAGATCAGTATTTGCTTCATTTTCATGTCTCTTCCCTGATTATATAAATTTATTTGAAGTTTAGAAATATTCCTTTCCAGTCACTTGAAATTATTCTTAAACTGGACTTCAGATAATTCATTTATCACTTACATGTCAGCAATACATTTGATTTTAGTTTGAGCCCCCTACCCCAATATAATTGTTCTAAAACTCCAAAATAGTTTCATTATATATCCATCTGACAGCATGAGCTAGTAGCTTAGTTCAGTTCCTTTCTCTTAAACCCCTTTCAAAATCCTTCTTTGCTTTTCTGGAGATAGAAGAAATGTAAATGAACAAATATCTAATAATGTTTTAAGCACTTAAGTTAACATAGGTAAGCTCTTATTCAGAGGTAAAAACTACAGTGGCTTTCTAGGTGAGAGGCTACAGCAGGAGCCAAACAGAGTGGATGAAAACATTTTGATTCTAGCCGATGCAACTAATATTCTTTCATCTTAATATTTTTACAAGACCATAGGTGATTATCTACTCATGAAGCAAGGATTGCCAAGCAGGCTGTTTAGACAGCAAGAATTGGTGAAGTTCATTTATAAGTAATTGAAATGCTAAAGCACTAGTACAGAGATTATAATTAATTATTTTTTAAATCTTGAGACAGACAAGAAAACGCCTGCTTATTCTTTCCAAATGTCAGTCCTGTTCCCAAACCAAAATGCACAGAACACAGAAAGGAAGGGGAAAGTATAGTAAACAATAAACACTGATATTCCAGTGCAGTGTAAAGTAACCTACACAGTGAAACAAGTTTTCACTCAGAGTTCTCTTACATGGCAGATGCAGAAAGCATAAAAATCCCTACGCTACACATTGTTCTGGTTCCAAGGCAAATAAAGAATATTTTTTTCAAGATCCTTTAAAGTTGCCATAAAGCAAAGAAGCAAACTTTTCTGATGAAGATTCCATGTGCAGAAAAAAGTAGACACCAACTAAGAGGCATCTTCACATGGATTCAGGACTAAGAGAAATCTCTCTTACATAAGGTCTTGTCCTTTTACCTCAGCACAATATTTACGTCTGTACTTTGCATTAACGCAGGCTTCCCCCCAAAAAAATTAAGTGTGGTTTAAATTAAAAGTGTTTGTAAAAATAATGCACCAATTAATATGAAACACAAATACTGATCCTGCTTAGAAATGTTGATATTCCAACCATATCATATGAAAATATATTTTCCACCAGTACCTGAACTTTTGGCAATAATGTGTAAATACATATTACAATTATATTTTCTATACGTTGCACACTTTCATGCATGCATATATATATATATATATAGTCATGCCAAAGGTTTGCTTTATCTTGAAACAGTATAGGTACAAATTCAGTGGGTTCCCACGTTCTGTTAGTGGCTATACATTCCCTAGGGAAGACAGTAAGAAAGCAACATTCATTTTAAACAAAGAAGTCGACCTATGCACTATATTACTTTCCAGCCTTTTAAATCCAAAATGCACTTTATAATTTCACCAAAAACGAGGATGTTCAAAGACTCCTATAATTGTTTCTTCCTTCTTTATACTCATTTTTTACACAGGAAAGGATTTGCTTGCGTAAATATGAGTGCATTCAGGAAAATATTATATTCTTCCAATTTTCCAACTGTTCCACTGAAGTAGTCTCACAGATTTCCTATTTGGTTGATCCAAATTTTATCATTTTAGGATTGCAGACTTGACCATTCTAACACAGACTTAAGGATACAAACGCAAAAATTATGAGCCCACAATGTGTTTTGTGTCTCTGTGTCTTCCAGGGCTACCTGAATAAAAGGACTAGGTAAAAAACTCACTAAAAGCCACAATTGTGCCTAGCCCCAGGTGACTAGCTTAACTGCAAGGTGGCTAAAATGGGCTGAGAACTATGGTGTGATTGACACCAACACCTGAAATCATGGCAATGTTTCTGATGCTTCAACACTTACTCCAGTCCCAGGAGAACTAAGCATGTTGCACTGACAATGGAAGCACAGTTTTCTTTTGTTTTTTGTTTACTCCTTTTTCATAATTTTAAGTGAACAAAATGCATATTGTAACATTAGGTACATGACACTTGCATGTTGCTATGCCTATATACTTACAGAGTATTCAATGTGTACTTGGTGGCGCTTAAAAAAATGTCATGTACAATTTTTATAAACATTCTACAGGGTTCCCATTTGCACTTCATCTTTCATTAAAGTCTTGTCAGAGAAATGTCTGAGTATTATTAAAGAAAAAAAAATAAAATTTCAATTTTAGTTATCGGTTGGACATTACTGAAGTGTCTATTCATTCAATACATTTTTTAAAAAGCAATTCATGAATTTTGTGATGAAGTTGTATTGGCAAATATATGGATGATCTGCTCCCAGCTGAAAACTGCTGTGTTTCCCTGTGCGTTCCATACTGAAGAACTATTTTGGATAACCTGCATGTGATACACCACTACTGATGCAGCCCTTATGATGTGGCATATAAAGATCCCCTTCTTTTGTGTAACTACTAAAATTTTGTAAATCTTTGTTTATATAGTAAGGATTTATTGTATACCATATAAAGCACTCAAACAAACATGTTGCTGATGTAATCAAAGGTGGTGATTTATGTGTACATACCAGGTATCATCCATGTCACTCCCTCTCAGGATCTTCCTTGGCTGAACTTCCAGCTGCTTTTAAAATGTGCAGTTAAATTACAAGTTTCAGGTTGGGTGTCAGAAGTAACAGAGGAGGCAATACCCTGATAAGAAATCTTGCACGTATGATCTGTTATTCACCCTTGGGCAGGCTCCAACAGCACCCCTGTTGGAAGAAATGAAGTTAACTAACATAAAGCTTCATCAGGAAGGCAAGAGGAATAAACATGTTAGCTCTGTCTCGGGTCTCCTGTTCCCATCACCTTCCCATTCAGGAGGGGTGATCTAGTGAAGCGGGGAACCTCCTGCACTCATGGAAGCTATCCACATGGTTTAGAGCTCATTTTCCACCATTCTAATATGAGCAAAAATAGACCCCTAGGAGCTGGAAGGTGTCAGAAATCGTGCTGGGGGATGGAGCTAGCATATTCAGCCCTGCTGCCTCCCTCGCTTGTAGTCCTAATGCTAGGAGGCTATAAATGTGCCTTCTCATTCCTTAAACTAGGATTTAGACATTCCAATGTTAAGGGTCAATTACAGGAGCACCAGGTTTGCATAGTAAGCAGGACAGATACAGAACCTCTCTGAATTGAGCATTTACATACTAAACTAAGTCAAGATCCCCCTTGCAGACCTCTCTTGACCAATTTGCAGTTTAGTATCTCTACATACTCCGAATCAACCGCTAGCCTATGACTTGAGATAGCACATAAAGGAGATGACACAATCTCTGCTGAGAGGGCTTGCTGCCTTGTACCATCCCTTGCCAATCTGATCTCCTGCAGATGTTTTGGACTACAACTCCCATCATCCCATGCTGGTTGGGGCTTAAGGGAATTGTACTCAAAAACAGCTGGAGGGGATCAGATGGACATGACAAAGCATGAAATGAATGCATCCCTAGGTGTGTGTGGAGTTGTTTTTGTTTGGGAACACGACTAGCGACCTTTACACCATTATACAGTTTCCAAGTCATTATCAAGCTACATGGTCATAATATTGGGACATGGGCATATATTGGGGAGAAGGAGGCACAAGTATATGGGAATGGGGCTGAGATCAATCCAGCACAGGGAAGCATGCAAAGGAGAGTCAAGAATATCAGGCAGTCATATCCAAGCAGATCGTTGCGCAGGCAAAATCCAAGATTTAGCCAGAAGCTTTTATGGCCCTACCAGCTCAGGGACAATAATATACTTCCTTGAAATGTGCTCCTCTGGCTGGATGGAAACCAGTCTACAGCCTGGGGTTCACCACCAGTTAGATCTGCAGGTTCCAGGTTTTAGCCCCAATGGCTCTGACAAAAATCTTCATGATATATAGATAAAGATTTAGGGATGATTACTGGATGATTAGGGACGCGGGTGGCGCTGTGGGTTAAACCACAGAGCCTAGGACTTGCAAATCAGAAGGTCGGCGGTTCGAATCCCCACAATGGGGTGAGCTCCCATTTCTCAGTCTCAGCTCCTGCCCACCTAGCAGTTCGAAAGCACATCAAGTGCAAGTAGATAAATAGGTAGCGCTCTGGCAGGAAGGTAAATGGCGTTTCCATGCACTGCTCTGGTTTGCCAGAAGCGGCTTAGTCATGCTAGCCACATGACCCGGAAGCTGTACGCCAGCTCCCTCGGCCAATAAAGCGAGATGAGCGCCGCAACCCCAGAGTCGGCCACAACTGGACCTAGTGGTCAGGGGTCCCTTTACCTTTACCTTACTGGATGATTACTGATATTGGCAAGTATTCTGTGCTGTCAATGCTGGCATTAAGGTATAATCTCACTTTGCTGCAATAATAATAGTAACAATAACAACAATAATAATAATAATAATCCTATAATAATAATCCTATCTCCAGTGATGATTGCATAATGAAGAGGAGGAGCAATTTCACATGGAAAACAAGGTCCTCATATTCTGCAGTAGAGAAGTTATCATTTTTCTTTGATGCATTTATAATTCTGCACTTAAATATTTTTTCTTTAAAAAATAAAGTAAAATTATGTAAATGGAAAGTTAGATTTATGATGAAATTGAGCAAGAAGTGGAGCAGGAAGCAAATGGTTAAAGCAGGCCCAATTTTTCAGAACAAAACTACCGGTATGTCCTTCCAGGGGAGGATGGATTATCTCAGACACAGATCTTGATTTAAGTGTGGGACATTATTTATTATATATATAAAGAGAGTGTGTGCATGTGTGTTCAAGGGTGCAAGAGTATAAAAGGAGAAGAGGCCTATGGAGGAATAGGAAAGTAGAGTTCAAAAAGAGTTCTTAACTAAAGTGTGGAGGGTTAACACACAAATGTGATATGCTGCACCTACATCACAATTTCAAGCAGGCATGACCGCCTGTTCTCCTCCCTGATGACCAAAAGAGCACTTCACTCCTACTGTCTTTTTTCAGATAACAGTCAAGTGGCGCAAACAGTAAAGGATGTCCAATGAGTGTAGCTCTAGAAACTTATCATAGCTGCTTAAGAACCTTCTCATCTAGCTGAGATGAACTTATCTATATTATAGTGCTGTACAAAGGTAGTAGCATCAGCCCAGGTAGCTAACCAGCAGGTCCACAGGGTCGCCACATCCCTCTGCCAAGATACAAGGGCTTCAGCCACCACTGAAGAGAGAATGGTGTAACATGAGAAATGGTGATCTGCATGTGGGTGCTGCAGACAATCTGCTACAGGTGCTGAAGGAGCCGCTGCAAAGGCCTGTCAAGGAACCATGTTCAAGATACCATGCTGCTGGCTCCTAGAATGTAAACTTGTAGTTGGACAAGACTCAAGACTGTTGGAGATTTCACTGAAAGTGCTCGCTGACTTCCAAAGGAGATTGCTCACCTCTTCCTGTAACAGAAGATTCTATTTTTGAACATATCCAGGATGATGCCTAAACTCTGTATTCTCTGTGTCAGGTACAGTAAACTATCACAAAGCCATGGTTCTCTAAGCAGGTAGGGGGATGCTCACATTCACTTCTGCCTTTGACCAGGGATCTCACTAAAAGGCCATCCAAAGAAGGGGGGGTAGATGAATTCCTTGGGTTCAGAGATGTGTATTGTGATTTTGATGAATACTCATAGAATCTACAACAGCCCAAATCAGTATTGAAACCATCTCTCCTCAGACGTCAGGAAGCTTCTGTGGCCCAGGTAAATCAAGATTTGGAGATAAGCTTCCATGAACAAAACGAAAGCCGCAAAACTCCCTTGGTCTCCATGGCTGATTTTTGTGTCTCCATTCTAAAGATACCAGGAATGGAAAGTATCTGTTTTGGGACACAGACTTGAAGTTGAGGGTGCAACTATGATATACAGTGTCCAGAACTCATCTGTCTGAGGTAATCTAGCCCCAGTTGTGGCAGCATGAGTTTAGGCATGACAGGTGTTAGCTGGAGGACAAGAGGCCTCATAATGGTCAATCAGGCTGGTGAGGAATTGCAGGGGGCGGGACCCTTGGAACAAAATGACTGCGATACCCACTTGTTATTTGCATCCTTCTGAGGTGCTATTTTGGAACTTTACCCATTGAAATGGAGCAGCAGACAGCTCAGTCTTGGATCCCTATGCTTTAGCCATAGGTTTCTGTAGACCAACCCCAACTCCACAGATGCCATTACCCTGGCAGCATTCTACCATGAATTATACTGCCCAGTCCAGTTTTCTGCTTCTCTCAGAGAGATTCTCAAATCCTGAATGCACCTCTGGTAAAGGGGCATGAGTTCACAGAAGAGAGGCAAGAATCATGACAATGTTTGGAGTGCTGACTATTAAAAAAGAAAGAGGCCTCATGACAATACCTAAAATGATTTTTTGAGAGAATCCATGAGTTTATTAGCTAACACGTACAGTGACTCTTAGTCTCCCTGGGTCTTTCCAGAGGTGGAGAATATCAGTGAGAAACTGTGGGTATGGCACAATGAAATAAGGAGGTCTGTTACATAGGAAGATCCTTGAGGTTCCCCCCACCCCAGTTGGTGGAGCCTTGTGATGTGGCTGCCACCGAGATAGGGGGTCCAGTTCCAGGGTCTTCATGGTCTCATTAAGTCCTTGGGGCAAAATAACTTATGCTGAGAGAGGGCAAGGATCCTTCCTGAAAGTTCTCACTCTTCTCTGTTTGACTCTGATCATCTTCACCTCATGGACTGAATCAGGCCCAAAGTTGTCCTCTCTCCAGTCAGGAGTATTGCCAGTTTTGATCTGGGATGCCAAAGTGAGTTGGCAATCTAGGAAAATTCATAGTGAGTAGGGACTGTCAGGTTTGGTGTGTGTGTTTGTGTTTAAGGTGGAGGTGTGGGAAAGGGCATGGCAGCACCTCTGCCTCCTTGCCCTGCGTCAGGAATGAGCCCAGAAAGAAGGGGCTGGAGGATGGCTGGATGAAACAGAAGTGTCCCTCTCTACTCCTCCTATGAAAGTTATGAGTTAATCTTTTCGAAGACAGCCTGCCTTCTTCTTCATCAGGTATGGAGTTCATGATGTGGGAAACACCCTTCGATGGAGAGTGGATGAGAAAAGCATGTGATCATACCTATGGGCCTCACATGCTCATCAGTTGGCCTGGTTATCACAGCCTTGCAATTGCAAACACAGTGGCACAGGGAGGGGCAGTCAAGCCTTCCACATGCATAACAACAGACTGAACCTATTGAGCCCTGACCCATAGAACACCTTATCTATTCACCACCTTTCCCAGTCCGATGACCAAGCATGCATGGGGAAACCCAGGGAGATAGTGATCCACTAGTCCCTTTGCCAGCTATGCAACCACAGCTGCTGTTTCCAGACAAGGGTGACTGCACTCTTAGAGCCACCTATTCCCAACACAGCATCTTTTTCTTTCTTTCTTTCAATTGCAGCAGCCCAAACTGAGAAGCGACGATCAGTTTGTTGGGAGCTCAAAGATTACTAGTGACTACCCCAAATGCTCAGGAGTGGCTGACCCTGCCTGTAGAAATGACAATTAGGAAAATGAGAAGCAACAACAAGGAACAGAGTAGCCCAAAAGGATTGTTCCTAAGCAAAGCTCAGTAGCAAAAAACAAGAAAGCAGAAAGCCATCAAATTAGAGGTTTCCTTCTCTCTCAGAAGTATATACAGTGTGTTAGTTTATTTATTTGTGCAATTTTGCCTGTGCCATCTATCAAAGAATAGTTAGCCCCTACTGCTTGTTCTACTCTTTCATTGATTTAGCAGTTAATTCCCTCCCCCTAAAAATAATGTTATGGTGCAATGTTTTAATTCCTGTAAGAATGAGGGAGAACGTAGGCCCTGACACTTCTTATCCCCAATGACCACTAAACAACAGTCGTTTAGATTAATTAGACCAAATGCCAGTTCTCATTAGCCCAACAATGACTGATTGGGCAGAGGAAGAAGAAGAAAGGAATTGCTGAAGTACCCAAACAAGGAAAATCTCCTGCCCAGAAATCCAGATAGCCCAGAAGATATGCCTCTGTGACATTTATGTCATAACTGAACATAACCAGCAGCTTAAGTATGCAACTAGCTTTTATATAGCTAAAGACCACCACATGGGTACAAGGAATCCCAGGCAGCAGTGCATGTAAGTTTCTATGCAAAAATCAATCAAGGTACCTATGGCAGTTGTAATTTATATATATGTCATGTGCCTGCAAAGGCACATTCATTTTTAGTATGTTGACCAAATGCTCCAAAGCAGACAGTACCATTGCTAGCAACAGACTGATCTTAGGCCTGTACTATTCTTCTAAAAGCCATACAGGTATTCTAAGAACATTTGCAATGGTCCTGAAGTTTCAAGCCCTGGAGTCAAAAAGCAGGTGGGACTGAGGAGAAGCTGCAGAAGGGTAAGGAAAAAGAAGTCTTTTGCCTAGATTTCTGGGTCATCGGAAAGCATATTCTGCTGTAACTTATGAGGGTCGAACTGCTCATGACACTTAATGGCTCATGAGGAAATATATGTCATGTTCTTTAACTGCATGCCAGCTTTAGAAAAATAGATACCTCTATTATTACCATGGAGGATCAAGATCTTGGGATGGGACTGCAGATACAAAAACACTGTGATTCAAAGTAGGGTTTATCTAGTAAATATTGAGCAGGGAGCTCCATGTAAATAGTATTGGGAAAGTTGCAAGGCTCTGAATATGGCATGTGAGCCATATATAAGGGTAGCTTATATAAGACCTACTTACCAGTCCAGCTTCAATTCCAGTCCAATTATACTCAGAACAGATTTATCCGTGTAGTGATTAGTTCAGGGTTTATTCCAAGCTGTTTCAGCAAGCATTGGGGAGGAAAAACCACTTGCTTTCCAATAATTTTATTCCAGCTCACAATGTTGGGTTATTTGCATGGGTGATATTATATGCATGGACATTATTGTATTGTCCTCAAAGTGTGTAGGTAGTGCACCTCTCCTACATGGTGGAGAGCTGTCTGAAAATCCAGCAACCCAACACATCTCCCAAATGTCACAATTACATACAAACAAGTCAAACATCCAGTCGTGGCTTTCAACAGCTGAAAAGTCTAGGTATATTTTACATTGTATATATCTTACATTTCAGTGAAAGGGATTACTTGGAAACAACATTGCCCCTCCATATTGTGGTCTGAGAAGTTGGGAGAGTAAATAAAAACCTCTCTTTACTGACATACAGAAAAAAGGGGGGTGACAATTATTATCAAACAGGTTTTATCTTCCTTAATAACACCCTTCTCCACTCTCCTGTGTTAATTTAGGCATTCTGACAGTGCTGCATTTTAAAATGCATAATTTGATTTAATTTAATTTAAAATTAGAAACTTTGCTCAAGGCAGCTGACAATGCGGCATCTAATAAAAGCAAAATTAATACACTAAAGAAAGAAGCTAGTAACAAAGCAACATGCAGAATTGCAAAACAATGTTTTCATACAAATGCTAGTCTTAAAGGTAAAATTTTAACAGGCAGGTTGCTGGGGGCTTATTCAAGTGCTCGTGGTTCTTCAAGCAGCTTCTGATTGTGTTATTTGCAGCCAGGCTACAGAAGCCTTATTCCTAGCCCACAGAAACCTTTGGGTTTGAGACTTGAATAAGGGCAGCTCGTACAACAAGGGCTAGAGATTTACTTTGCTTCAAAAAAGGGAAGCTGTGACGGAGACTCCTAAAGTCGGTGGGATTTCTTGAGCAGTTGACCCTAAGCGCTTGTTACACCCCCTCAAGATGTTAAGTGGGGGAAAATATGCATTCAAACTGTTAAAAGAAATAATGTATGGTGTTTGAGCTCTTGCCAATTTCTCACCTTGGAGAATTCTTGTTTTGGTCTAATGTAGTACTCTCTACTTCTCCCCGACTTCCTGAGGTGGACTCCAAATAAGTACAATTAGATAAAAGAGAGACACAGCAATACATCCTTATTAAGGGAATCACTGCTGAGGTGTTAGATGCTTTGCATCAATGTTTCCATTATTCCCCAAGTCTTTCACTGTGATGCTTGGGTTGCATTGATGGTTCAAAAGATTACAAATCCAAACTTTACAGAACTGGCTGACAGTGATATATTTGCCAGTTGCAAATTAGTCCAAGCAAGTTCTAAAATCCGCTCAGACAAATGTGATTCTTAGCAAGTTCTGAACTGTCTCCTTCAGGCTACAATGATTAATTTCATTAGACACTTTAACTTTAAAAAATTAGTGTTAAGGTAGCATGTCAATCACAATATCTATTTCCAGCAAGGCTTGAAGTCACAGGATGCAAAGCTCATATAAAGTACTTTGTTCATTTAAATCCAAGGGAGCTGACTTTATTTTCACACTATTTTGTAGTGCCATGACTTAATTCTTGAGTGTGCAAAGAAATGTAATGTGTGATTTTTAAAGCATTTTATTATATCAAAGATATATGAATATTTCAAATAGTGAACAGTATAAACATACAAAGAGAGAAAAATTTATTCTCAATGTGTTCTTAAAAAGGAAGATCAAATAACAACAACAGCATCAATGTTATCATACATTTTTGCCCTATAGACTGAAAAATGTATGATTTAAAACTGGGCCTGAATCATCTGTAAGGCTCACTAACTAATAACGTAATTTAATTAAGATCACTGCTCTTTAGCAAAAAGAAAAAAAGGGGGGGAAGTTCTGAGGGATTTACATTTTACACACCCACCCACAAAATAAAATTAAACAAAGAAAGGCAAAACATACATATGTAGCCAGTGTTAAAATTTCAATGAAATTGGAGTATGTAAAAGGCCTGGTCAAAAAAAAAAAGTCTTTAGCCATCACTGAAAAGAAAACAAAGAGAACAATAGGAGCGGCCTTCCCATCTCTAGGAAGAATTCCAGAGATGTAATGCCACCACTGAAAGGGCCCTGTCACTTCTGATGGCACAGATGTCCCTTAAGAATTCTCCCCAAGGTTTTTTATGCTCCCTGGCAAGTGATAAATGAAGCATCAACAACAGCATTTGCACATCAGTAAACCATGTTCCTTCTCTTTGGCTTCACCATCAGCTGTTAACTAAAACCTTTATGCTAATGTAATCAGAAAAGCGCTTGAGAAAAGAATTAGGAAAATGTTTCTTTCTTGTTTCCTTCTCAAAGACACTATTCTTATATTTATCTAATACACGGTCTTCAAGTGTTTGATGGTGTTATCCTTTTTGTAGGCCAGGCCAAGAAGTTATGACCTATTTGAAATGGCTTTAAGTCTGCTATTTCTCCATGAAGCCCATCCTTCTTGCCCTAAAAAATATCCAGATGAATTCCAACCCTGAAATAACATTTTGGGACAAGAGCAAATAGATGCTAGATTCATGTAGCCAAGTAATATAAAGACAGTACTTAAGATGGTGGTTGGAGCTTGCATTTTAAAGACCATGTGGATTAATTTGTAAAGTATATGGCTAAATGGGTGGCCATATCAGGTGCTCAATTTCTTTGCAGGAAGGCCTGGGGTCAGGCTTTTAATTATGAAGTAGCACAATCTTACCTAGCTCGGAAGAGATGTAAGGGACATAACTAGGAAAAGCTCTTGGCTCAAGCAGTTTTGTTGAGGAAAGACTGCACTTCCCTGAGGCTTATGAATTATGGAGCATTCACAAATATTGCAACCACGAAAGAAAAGTGATGAGTCACAGAATGATTAGAATCAACGGACTTGTAATAAGGGAAGGAGATGGTTGGTTGGACAGGGGTGAAGCCTCACTCAGTATTTAGGAATAGGGAGGCTGTTGAATGAGTGGTGCAAAGGCAAAGGCCAGGAAGCTCCATATCTGACTTGATCTAGGAGTGATAAATGAGCAAAAGCAAGTTTCCACGTGTGAACTTTCTCTTCTGCTGTTGTGCAGCAAAGGGAGGCAAAACAAGAGAAAGTTGAATCTGCTATCTTTGGCACAGTTAAGAAATAATCATCACTAGACATTCCTTAAACCAAGGGGAAAGCAAAGCAAGTGTCATATTCAGCCCCACTGCCCTTTCCTAAACATGCTTTTATCTAAGTAGTGATCAACACTAATCAATCTGCTTAGCTGGAGAGTGTTGGGTGGGCATTCCTATAAAATGGCAATAGATTTCCAGTCTTCTGGTATAATCATTGTTTCCTGGATTGGAACTAGTGATTAAAAAATAACCATCCAAATGTATTGGTGCAAGTAATCACTTGTAATTATAGTAAGTAGTGAGTGAATATTAAGCACAACAGAAGAGAGCAGAAGATGTTTTTTCTATGGAAACCAAAGTGCTAGATGTGGGCACTGTTATTCTTTGTTTCACAGGGACGAAGTAGCCTTTGAGGAAAAAAATTCTAAACCTCCTGCTGTCCTTGATATGTATCTGGTTTCCAGCCTGTAGATAAATCAAGGACTTCAATATCCAAATATGTCTCAGAAGCTGCACAAACAAGAATAATGATGGGAAATGTCTGCTGCTCAATGGTGGATCACGAACACTGAAACCAACAATCCATACATCTGTCACCTACTAGGCAAGAAAATACTAGCCAACAATATTAAGAGGCAAAAGGATGCACTTTTAGCACAACTAATCTGAAAACTCACTGTTCATAAACAAGTGCAAAGTCCTTATGCCCTGATCTGTGAGGACCCTGGAATTAGTTGTCAAGGCAAACAAGATAAGATTTAAAACATGCAAACCCAGATCCTAATCCAATGACCATCTGTGCTTGTTCATTCCTCATCCTGTGGTAGACAAATAGCTTTAAATAAAACAGGAATGAGAAGAGCCAAACAGACAGTGCAGATATGGGGTATTATAATGCTATTTCAGCTCAGGAAACCCTCATCACAGAGGAAACTACGTACAGCTGATTTATGACAGCCTGACATGCTTATTCAGAAATGCCCCTTACAATGTAAAGTGGAGATGGTGGAGAAAATTTGTTCATTTTACTTTTAAATGCATACTTACCTAATTCAGACTTTCTGAAACAATACATGAATTGAAACTTAGTTATTCTTTGAAATTCACATTTTCTGAATTTTCTTCTCCAGCCTGAAAATGTGGGAAAATATGTGTATTGGGGGAAAGGGCATAAAAATGCACATATTAGTGAAAATAACATTTAAAAATTATATTAGGAGAAACTGCTTGGGGAAAAAATGTGTATTAGACAAAATTGTGCATATTAGGAGAAGTACACACTAACATGGATTTTCATGAGGATTCTTAAAAAAAAAAAAAAAACCCACCGCACCAAGTGATGTAGAAATGTGATAAATGAAACTTAGGATTGGGAAATGGAGTCACTGAGAGAAACCAAAATGGAAGGATTTATCCATCCCTAGTTAAGCGCATCCAAGCAAGGATGCTTAGGATTGCAGCTTCAGTCTCTCAAGGGGTTTTGCTTGGAATGGAGCAGAATTGCCAGCACAGAGTGTAGCAGCATCTCATTCTCATTCTCTGGATTGGACTGTGAGCTAATGTTTAAGCTTTCTCTTATGTGCTTGGTACAGAAAAGTGATGGGATGAACACTACACTGACAGATTCCATTTTTCCTACTCCTTATGCTGAAAGTACCCTAATCCATTCTGAGGCTGGAAGGGCTTTTAGACACATCATTCAGTGCCTCAACATGGCGATTTATCTCTACATGACTTGCCACTGGATATGGGAGCCTAGCGCAGGAAAAGCATCATGTTCAAGGAGAAAAACAAACTGTGGCTCTAACGTGTCACACCATAGCAAGCATGGGGGAGACCTGGATCCAGACCAGAACAAGCCTGGGGCTTGTAAGGGGGTCTTAACCCTCTGTCCCTATTGCGTTCCCAATCAGGATTATTCCATACCTATTACTCTTTAAAAACCATATGGGAATGTGGTCCATTATATTGCAGTCCTCAAGGTCTGTGGATGCTATATGGTTGCATTAATAAGCCTTCATAAACCCCAGGTTTTTCACAGTCCTTCCACCATACAAGCAACCCCCAGGATAATAGAAATGCTGGCTCCTCCTTGACAACTTTTTCAGTATTTACACCTCTGGCTGTATGGGTTGAAAAGCTATGAAATATGACTATGGAGGGTCGGAGGAGTCAAAGGTATCAAAAGAGGGCTAAGGATAGGGATCCCTAGGATAGATGAGCACTAGCAAGTCTGAGAAAGCTTTTTAAAATGGGAAAACAGATGAGCACCAGCAATCCGTTCAGGGTTAAATGAGGGCACTTTCCTATAGCTCATGTGCGCCAGTGCTTTCCATTAGCTAAAAGGTTGTTGATGCAATTGTGCCCATGTTCACATGCTAGAAAAAAATTGCCCAGTGTTCCAATGCACACAGTTGCTTGTGTGCATTATTTTTATGGAGGTGCAGGGGAGGAGGGGTCAAAGCAAAAAATGAAAGTTATGGAAAGCTGCAGCAGTTGCAAAATCTACACAGCCAGCAATGATTTCAAGATCCAAAAATCTGTGCCAAAAGAAGGGCAGATAAACAAATGTACTGCTGCTGTTTGACAACCAGGAAAATGTAATATAGAAACCCAGGTTCCAGGGGGCAATTTGGAGAGAGGAAATTTCAGAAATATCCCTTAACATGTGTAGTATAGATTTTACTATTATTATCATCTTAATTCCAAAGAAACAAAGGCAGAAAGGACAAGGGGTTTAACAAGGGTAAGACAGTGAGCTCGTGTAGCAAAATCAGAATGAGACTTCACACACACTGCATCAGGAGGTTTGGGGCCTACAGACAAAAAATATTCAAAGCCATTCTCTAAACATCACACAGTAGAGTCTCATATACACCCTTTTCTAACATGCTGATTAACTTCCTATAAATTTAATAAATAGTTAGCAAAGCCATCTAGAAAGGCACCATGCTCTACTACCAATATATTAGCTCATTCCCTTGTCTGGGTAAGCACAGTGTGTTTGTTAAAAGAGTGTCTAAGAACCACAAGGTTCCCATTATATGTAATTGCTCTTTACAATGACTGGCTATCTCTGGTGAAAATGAATCAGTGATCTCCACTATAACGGAATCTATTAAAAAGCTGGAGAGCACAGCTCGTCTCTTTGATGTTGAAAAGGAAGAATTTCAATAGGCAGTCTCATCAGGCTGTCTAACAAAGCAGAAGTAAGGGCTGCAGGCAGGAGCAGGCTGATATCATGGGTCACTGGGAAAGTAAGTCGACTGTAGCAGCACATGGCTGTTCAACTGCTAGCCGGTTACCTAAGGGGACAGTAGAGTATGGCTGTGGTCGGGCTTTCGAAACATACAGATGCTTTGATTATAATACAGAGATTTCTAAAGTGTGCCTCCGCCAGCTTAAAACTGTTTGATCCTTTCCAAAGTAACTGGCCGCTGACTCTGCCAGGGCCAGCCCTAGCCATTTTACTGCCTGAGGCAGAGCAGCAAACTGAGATCCTTCTCTTGCCAGTCAAAGGGCACAGCACACAAGTTATTTTGGCACCTGAGGTAGAAAATCCCACAAGCACCTCTGCCCCCAAGTAAAAATAACAATAATCTATCAAATAACTATTTGCTGTACTTTCATGACATGCCAACCCAGCTGCCTACAAGCGGAGGTTGGTTCATTAGAGCAATGGGCACCGTGGGAACTAAGCTCAGTCTTTTTCTCCCTGTCTGCCTTCATACTTACAACCAGTCAGTTTTCTTAATGACTGTGGCAACTTCCTTATCCTTAGCCCCAGGGTTGCCCAGGTAGAACTCAGAAGGGAGGAGGATAGGGACTAAATTATCATTAGTTTGCTCTGCTTGTCACTGCCTCTGGTTCCACCTAGTGTAGCTCGCCCTGACTTCTGCCCCACCAATGCCAATGGGCACTAGCTATCACCACTGGCCCCCTTCATGGATCACTGCCTTGCCGTGGCGATGTGATGGCGATGTGATGGCCACTGGTCCCATCACCTCCTGGCAAATAGAAGGGGAAGAAATGGAGGCAGTGAGAGATTTTACTTTCTTGGGCTCCATGATCACTGCAGATGGTGGCAGCAGTCACGAAATTAAAAGATGCCTGCTTCTTGGGAGAAAAGCAATGACAAACCTAGACAGCATCTTAAAAAACAGAGACATCACCTTGCCAACAAAGGTCCGTATAGTTAAAGCTATGGTTTTCCCAGTAGTGATGTATGGAAGTGAGAGCTGGACCATAAACAAGGCTGATCGCCGAAGAATTGATGCTTTTGAATTATGGTGCTGGAGGAGACTCTTGAGAGTCCCATGGACTGCAAGAAGATCAAACCTATCCATTCTGAAGGAAATCAGCCCTGAGTGCTCACTGGAAGGACAGATCGTGAAGCTGAGGCTCCAATACTTTGGCCACCTCATGAGAAGAGAAGACTTCCTGGAAAAGACCCTGATGTTGGGAAAGATGGAGGGCACAAGAAGAAGGGGACGACAGAGGACGAGATGGTTGGACAGTGTTCTCGAAGCTACCAGCATGAGTTTGACCAAATTGCAGGAGGCAGTGGAAGACAGAAGTGCCTGGCGTGCTCTGGTCCATGGGGTCACGAAGAGTCGGACACAACTAAACGGCTAAACAACAACAACATCACCATTAGCTGCCTTAGGTCTCACTCAGTGGTAGGACCATCCTTGTGCAAGTTCAGCAGATAAGCAACAGCAGATAAACTGACATACAGTGGTGCCTCGCAAGACGAAATTAATTCATTCCGCGAGTTTTGTCGTCTTGCGATTTTTTTTGTCTTGCGAAGCACGGTGTTGGGAAAGTTTTGGAAAAGCTTCAAAAATCACCAAAGTCTTTAAAAACCTCAAAAAAGGCTACCACACCGCGTTCTATGAGTTGCTCCTTGAAGTCAAGTCGCAACTGTATTAACGGTGTTAAGAAAAAGGAAACAAACTTGCAAGACGTTTCCATCTTGCAAAGCAAGCCCCTGGGAAAATCGTCTTGCGAAGCAGCTCAAAAAACAAAAAACCCTTTCATCTAGCGAGTTTTTTGTCTTGCGAGGCATTCTTCTTGCGAGGTACCACTGTATAGAATACCAGTGAACTAAGACAGAAATTTGCTAAGGGGATACTTGTGCAACATAAAATGGAGGCAGGGAGGAGACATATGTTTTTGAATGCTCTCTCATACAAATCCTTCACTGTTGAAATGTAGCATCGTTGGGGGAAAACTAGGCTGAAACCTTCCCCCCAACTTGTTACTTGTTGGAAGCTAAGACAAGTTTGGAGCAAGTACTCTTTGGCAAGGGCTGTAAAATATTAAAAATGTGCCCTTTCCAGTGAATCCCAAAGTATCCTACTTCCCTAGCACACAGATAAGACCACACATAGAGTAAGTTATAAAATGTTTTACTTACAAAACTCTTCAGAGGTCAGATGGATGTGCTTTTCCATAAACAAAGTCGGACATGGCTCCCCAAATCTCTTTTCTGATGAGAGCAGCTTTTGCATCTCATTTGGAAACCAAGGACCCAGAGTCTGGAGGAAGAATGGTGAGACACACAATGCCAGATACTTGACATCCAGTGTGAAGTTTCCACAGTCTGTGTTGATTTGGGGAGCCATGTCATCAGCCATGTCCAGGGTCAACACAGCCATCTACCAGGAGATTTTTGGAGCACTTCGTGCTTCCTTCCGCAGATGAGCTTTATGGGGATGCTGACTTCCTTTTCCAGCAGGACTTTGGCACCTGCCCACACTGCCAAAAGTACCAAAACCTGGTTGGGATTACTGTGCTTGATTGGCCAGCAAACTCGCCTGACCTGAATCCCATAGAGAATCTATGGGGCATTGCCAAGAGAAAGATGAGAGACATGAAACAGAGCAATGCAGACGAGCTGAAGGCTGCTATTGAAGCATCCTGGTCTTCCATAACACCTCAGCAGTGCCACAGGCTAATAGCATCCATGCCACACCGCACTGAGGCAGTAATTGATGCAAAAAGGACCCAAACCAAGTACTGAGTACATATGCATGCTTCTACTTCTCAGAGGTCCAATATTGCTCTATTTGCAGTCCTTGTTTTGCTGATTTCATTTAATATTCTAATTTTCTGAGATGGTTAATTTGGGGTTTTCATCAGCTGTACGCCATGATCATCACAATTATAACAAATGAAGGCTTGACATATCTCGCTTTGCATGTCATGAGTCTATCTCATATATTAGTTTCACCTTTTAAGTTGAATTACTGAAATAAATGAACTTTTCCAAGATATTCTAATTTTCCGAGTTTATTTCCCATGCTTTGCGCATTAGTGTACAGACATTGAAGTCCATTAATCATTCCCCGTGTCTCTTATTTAAGGATTTTTTCCTCCCACCACTAGGTCTGGGTGCTGTTTGCTCCATTTGGTCTATGACATTTGGATGATCAACTTCATCAATTGATAGACTCCTGCCTTCAGGAGCACTGTCTCCCTCCCCCACGTTAGTCAGTTTAAAGCCCTCCTGATGAGGTTTCTGAGATTTTTGGCAAAAACATTCCTCCCAACCGTTGTGAGGTGCAGCCCATCGCTTGCCAGAAGTCCATCTTCAAGAAACTGCAGTCCGTGATCTAAGAATCCAAACCGTTCCTGTTTACACCATTTGCGAAGCCAGCTGTTCACTTCCACTATTTTCCCTCTCTCCCTGGGCCACGTTGTTCAACTGGGAGGACAGATGAGATGACAATTTGTGCATTTAATTGCTTCAATTTCCTGCCCAGAGCCTCGTAGTCTCTTTTGATCTTCTGGAGGCTATTGCTTGCAGTGTCATTGGTTCCCACATGAACCAAGAGGAAGGGGTATTTGTCAGTGGGTTTTATGATTCCTTGCAGTCGTTCAGTTACATCTTGGATCTTAGCCCCGGGGAGACAGCACACTTCCCGAGACATCTTGTCAGGCCCACAGATCACTGCTTCTGTTCCCCTCAGTAGAGAATCCCCTATCACCACTACACGCCTCCTCTTAGGTTTGGTCGGGGTTCTTCCATGAGCTGTCCGTTCCAAGGTCGCTTGCACATTCCCTGAGGAATGACTTTGCTGCTCGTCTTCATATACCTGATCGACTGTAATGAGGGAGAGATCCTCAAATGGAGTCTGCTCTTCGTCTTCCATGCTAGGGGCGAGGACCTCAAAGCGATTGTGTATTTCTAAACAATCAGAGCGAACCCTGGGCCTCCTACTTCTTTGAGTCACATTTCTCCATATATCTGGCTCCTGTGTTGGTGAACTAGCCTCCTTCTCAGGGGAGTCCCCTGTCTCCTCCTTGGTGGAGACGGTGTGCTCTGTTGCTTCCAAGAAGAGCTCCAGCTCTCTAATTCTTTAAAGCGTAGTTACACGTTCCTCCAGTTGCTGGACTTTGTCTTCTAAGAGGGCAATCAACATGCAATTGCTGCAGGTAAAGCTGCCTGCTTTACCTGCTCTTGGTTTACTTCAGACTGGAAAAATAAGCCAGCACAAAGTAACAAACAGCAAAAGGTGGCAAGAAATAGAAACAAGTAAGTGGAATGCTCTCCCCAGGGAAGTTCTCCTGGCGCCTTCATTATACACCTTTAGGCGCCAGGCAAATGTGTTCCTTTTTAACCAGGCCTTTAGTTGATTTGATTGACATCCTATGCCCTTTAAAATGTGAGGTTGTTTTTTATTTGGGGGCGGGTTATTGGGTTGTTTTTATTTTGATTATTAATTCTGTAGTTTTATATTTTGATTTTATTCTGTGAAGCGCCCTGAGACCTTCGGGTACAGGGTGGTATATAAATTCAATAAATAATAATAAATAAAAGTAAGTGCAGCTCTGGTCAAATTCATCACAGCAGTTCTTTAGCGTCAGTTAACGGCTCATTTACACTGTATTTCTAATCAGTAACATGCAAGCCTAAAGAAGCATTTGATCACTACACAAGGTAATAAAACCTAATTAAATTTTATCAGGCAACGAATAAAATATGAAAAATTGCAGATGTAACAAAGTAGTGTTATCTGAACTTTAAGAGGACAAAATTAATTCATTCCATTGGTTAAAAAAACCCACATTCAGGAGTTGTTGTTGTTGGTTTTTTTCATGTTTAATTGTTTCATTATTTTGTAAATTGCTGCCCTGGGCTCCTTCAGGAGGAAGGAGGGACAGAAATAACAATAATATGGCAGAGGAGAAGGAGGAGGAAGAAGAAGAAGAGGTACTTGAAGCATTATACCGTATTTTTTGACCCATAGGACGCACCGGCCCATAGGACGCACCCATAGGACTGTGGGGATCTCCCGCAGGGCTCCCCAGGCTGCGGATATCGGCCCGGCACGCGGGGCGCTCTGCTTCAGGGCGCCCGCGCTCTGTGCACCAGGCTGCTATCTGCAGCCTAGGGAGCCCTGCTGGAACTCCCGCAGGGCTCCCCAGGCTGCGGATATCTGCCCGGCGCACGCGGCACTCTGCTTCAGGGCGCCCGCGCTCCTTGCAGCAGGCTGCTATCCGCAGCCTAGGGAGCCCTGCAGGAACTCCAGCGGGCTCACCAGGCTTGCTGATAGCTTCCTGAAGCCTGGAGACTTCCCTCTCGCTCTCCAAGCTTCAGCGAAAGCCTGTATTCGCCCCATAGGACGCACACAGATTTCCCCTTCATTTTTGGAGGGGAAAAAGTGCGTCCTATAGGGTGAAAAATACGGTATTTAATAAGAGAAGAATAGTTAAATGTGCAGCACACATACAACACAGTCTGCCATACTACAGTCCAAGAAATGTTTTACAACTCGATCCAATTAATTCAGCTGATGCTGATACATAAGCTAAACACATGGAGAAAGAGTGGGTATCTGAATGGTGGAGTAAACTTTTAAAAATATTGGCTGTAGCAGGAGAGGAGGGTGCAATTCTGGCTTCATGCCAGAGAACAAAATGACCAAACAACACTGCTAGGGAGGATGTGATTCCTTTGAAACAGAAGTAGTTCACCGGATGAGACAGTAGTTCAACCTAGCTTCCCAGCAGATAGGTTTCTGTTGCTTACTGGGGGTGAGAAGGGAAGGGATGAGGTGGCAGGGAGGTCAGAGTGGTGAAAACACATCCGCAGATTGGTCCCCAAAGCACACTTCCTTCCCACAGACATCCCCTCCCCCTTTCAGTAAGCAACCTGGCTGCCAGAAATGTAATGTAGTGGCTCCTCCCCACCAGACATGTCACTTCTGCTTTGAAAGCAGGTAATGCCTCTGCAGCATGAGTGATTGAACAATTCAAGTACAGTGGTACCTCAGGTTAAGAACTTAATTCGTTCTGGAGGTCCGTTTTTAACCTGAAACTGTTCTTAACCTGAGGTACCACTTTAGCTAATGGGGCCTCCCGCTGCCGCCAAGCCACCACCACGCTATTTCTGTTCTCACCCTGAAGCAAAGTTTTTAACCCAAAGTACTATTTCAGGGTTAGCCGAGTCTGTAACCTGAAGTGTCTGTAACCTGAAGGGTCTGTAACCCGAGGTACCACTGTACACCTGATTTGAGCTGCACCGAAGAATGAAGAGCATCCGTACAGAGAAGCTGAGTTGAAAAATAACCCAGAAGAAAAATTCACACAGGAGTACAACTTGTTTTTACCTGCTTAAGGAGATTATCAGAAGAGGTCACAAAGAGAAAGGAAAAATATATGAAAATAACAAGATGAGATGTGGGAAACAGCAAGATAGGACTGGATAGAATTATGAACATTATTTGGACAGATTTGTGGACATTAATGCAGCAGCAAGAAGATGATTGGATCCCCTTCGGAACTTGAAATATGGGTACCCCCAACAAAAATTTAAAAATTCGGCTTTGTAATTTGGAATTTATGTGATGTGATTTGATTTGATTTGATTTGATTGGTCGGTTAATAAAAATTATTTTAAAAACAACAACCTCAGGAAGGGTTGGTTGCAGTAGGCTGGTTTCTCTGTGGGATGGCAGAAAAGCACTCAGTGTTAACTGATTTATTTCTCATGTGACTTAGTAGTAGGTTTTTTCACAAGAACTACAAGTATGCTCTGGAACATCACTTGGGAATTATTTTTCTGTTTTAATTGTACAAAGTGGCCCTTGGCTGGTTACCTCTACAATTTGCCTCCTTATTCCACTCCCAGAAGTATAATATATTAATTATTCCCCTAATGATCAAGTGGCTAAAGCAATTCTCCTATTAGGAAATGTTTATCAATTTATTGGTGTGTGGGTTTGGGGGGGGCATGACAGAAGTGTATACAATTACGGTGTGAAACAAGTGGGTAGAAAATTTGCTCACTCACACACAACACTTAGAACCCTGGGCCTACAAATGAGGTTGAATGTTGGAAAAATCAGAACAGACCAATACATACTGCATTACTAAACTATGGGATTTGCCGCCACAAGATGGTAGTGATGGCTACTAACCTGGACGGCTTTAAAAGGGGATTAGACCAATTCATGTTGGATATTAGTGGCTACTAGCCACAATGGCTATGTACTGCCTGCCATATCAGAGTCATTGTGTCTCTGAATACTAGTTGCTGGAGACCACAAGCGGGAGAGTGCTACTGAGCTCATTCTTCTGCATGCAGGCTTCCCTATAGGTATCTGGCTGGCCACTGCGAGAACAGAATTTTGGACTGCATAGAACAAGGAACAGCTGATGGCGCAGCTTGTGCCTTGTCTTCTAGATTGTGCTAAATGGTTCCGTTTCTATTAAAAGACGACAAAAAAGTTACATAGCTGCCTTCTCTGCAGTTGAATCTAATGCAGAAATACTTCCACAGTGTAAAGCTAAAGCTTTCCAAATGACTCAATCTGGTTGTGTCGCTGTAAAATAATCTCTCTCATAAAACCTTTCTTCCTTGTCCACCTTTGCCAAGCTTAAGCAAATTAAATAGAAAAGTCACACACGGATCAGAGAAAAACTAGAAGTTACTAGACTTCTTTTTTTTTAGGATCAGTAACTTTTCATCTGAGAGTTTTGATTAACTTGTGCCTTTCTGCTGTGCCGTTTCTCTCCCCTACAGTATTTCCATTAAAAATGTTTCACAGGATCATGATTCTCAAACATATTGAAAAAGTTGAAGTAGGGTTTAGTTTTATTTTATTTTTTTGCAAAACACCTGTTCCTGGCTTGGTTTGTAAAACTGGCTTCTCCTACATGAAAGGCTTCCTCCTGATTGCTATGTTTAAGGGAACTGCACGGAAATAAGGCCTTTGCCATATCAGCAAAGTCAAACTTAAATCTGACTCACGGAACTACAAATCAACTGATAATAGAATAGCGTACAGCTTCCTACAGCAACCTGATGCCCTCCAAATGTTTGGGATCACTCAGGTCTGATGGGACTTGCCATCCCAAACATCCAGAGAGCACTAGCTTGGCAAAGCCTTATACAGTGGTTACAGCCTGTGACTTGTAGACTGGAGATTTGGGTCTGAATCCGTGCTTGCCAAGAACCTCACCTGAGCTACTTACACCTCCTCAAGCTAACCTGGAGAGTCCCTATTTATGTCACCTGAATCTCTAACAGAAAGAGTGAGACATACTGTAGATGTGAAAAATAAACCAGAGCAAGTATAGAGAAGGGGCTATTACTTTAGTAACAGCTTAGAATCAAAGACCCATAAAATTATAGAGTTGAAAGCATGGGCATAGCCAGGATTTTTGTGGCGGGGAGGGGGGAGAATCTCAGTTAGCTATGTATTTTTATTGATTTAGGGGGGCAGCTGCCCCCTCTTGACTACACCCATGGTTGAAAGGGACACCATGGGTCATCTAGTCCAGCTCCCTGCAATGCAGGAATCTCAACTAAAGCATCCATGACAGATGGCCATACCTCCTCTTCACCTAGGTCCTGGAGAAACCAGCAGAGACATGAAGAGGTAGAGAAGGTCCAGCCTTCAAGGCAGAATGCTAGATGGCTTGCAAAGGAACAAAACTGCTTGCAGCGCTAAGTTGTGCCCACCCAATTTCTTTATAAGAGAAATGCAAGGAGCACATCTTAGATCAACACCGTTGCTTGGATATCCATATTACTTGCTGCGCCTTAGCATAAGTGTGCTTTTGAGCAGATATATGTATTGCCTTTTGTGCTTTTAATTAGTGTTTTTGCATATGTATTGCACTAATCTCAGCATTAAAGCTTTCCGGAAAAATCATCACCTGAGTTCACATTCGTCGCCAGGTAGGAGCCAGGATAGAATATTTTGTTTATTTATAGTTTTTAAACTTGTGGTTTTCAATTGAAAACAGATTCAAACTATCGGAACGTTTATTCCACTAAAATATTTTTAAATAGCAAGTTCTTTTTCTTTTCTTTTTTAAAAAGGCACCATTTAAGGAATTTAAAAAGATGTCATTTCAAAAATCTTTCAAGGGAATAAGTATACCAATAATTCAGAAAGAGCCTGGAGTGACATTTATGCTAAATAGTTAGGAACTCCTGCAGAGAATTATGGTTCAATTTTTGACAGGAAAAAGTTCCTTTAAATTTATAATTAGCAACAAAGGAACTTTTCCCCCTTAAGAAAGCATCTTTTGGGGGAGAAATGAAATACCTTTTTATTGCATTAAACATCAAAATTAGGAGTTGTCATTTTTATTCAATGTCTTTCTCCCACTCCCCACCCCCGTCCCACCCCTGTAAATCTACTATGCGTTTTGTGTACTGCTGATTATTCATACCATCTCTCTGTTATGAAGCGCATCTGCACCCTTCATTTACTCCCATACAGCTTCAGCTGTACAAGGTTGCAAACTGTGCACAAAATTTGAATATTTTAATAGTTAGCACAGGCCAAAAATAGCATCTTTATGAAATTTCTGAACTTTAAGATAAAAATGTTAGCTCATAAAATATGTAGGCTCTTTGATGTTGTCACTGAAATTTTACCCATACATATGCCTTAAAACAGGCTTCCTCAACCTTGGCCCTCCAGATGTTTTGAGACTACAATTCCCATCATCCCTGACCTGGTCCTGCTAGCTAGGGTTCATGGGAGTTGTAGACCAAAAACATCTGGAGGGCCGAAGTTGAGGAAGCCTGCCTTAAAAGGATGGAAATTGATTAGACTAATTAGTTACCTTTATTCTTGCACCACTTTTACAGAAATCTCTGTATGTAAAAGAATTCCCTGCCTTAATGCAAATACTTTCTTCCACTGCAATAGGCATGGCCTGACTCCAGAAAGTATGTGAAAGAACTTATGTTCTCATTTGCAAAGGTATTAAATGCTACTGGCCACAGTCTGAGGCAGTAATAATAATAATTTTATTATTTATACCCCACCCGTCTGGCTGGGTTTCCCCAGCCCTTCTGTGCAGCTTACAGCACATATAAAGATTGTAGCACATCAGACATTAAAAAGTTCCCTAAACAGGGATGCCTTCAGATGTCTTCTAAAAGTCAGATAGTTGTTTATTTCTTTGACATCTGATGGGAGGGCGTTCCACAGGGCAGGCGCCACTATCAAGAAGGCCCTCTGCTTCTGAATGCCAGTTGCTAGAAATCACAAGCTGGGAGAGCACTGTTGCATTCATGCCCTAATTGTGGGTTTCCTACTTAGGCATATTTGTTGTCACTATGTGAACGCAATGATGGACTAAACTGGCCTTTCACCTGAACCAACAGGGCTTCTCTTATGCTCCTAAGGTACTAGAACAAGCAGACACCAGCACTAGTTTTCCAGTTGGAGATGCCTCATGACCTCACAGGAGTCTAGGGCATGTACTCACTGGTTCAGCCATTTAGGTAAGAGCAGCCATTCCTCCCCGTTTCTATGCTTCTCAGTTAAAGTCTGTCATAAATTCTGTTAACCTGCAAGAAGGTTCACAGAACTGCCAGCACTGAACCCCAAAGGTTTTTTTTTAATCCTAAAAGGCATTATCTGCGATGAAATCACAACACCCAACTCATTCATTGTGCAAAGGAGAAATTCCCTCATCCCTGTACAATCCTAGAAAACATGCATAGCCGTTTACTCCACTGAACATAGTTCACTAAGGCCAGAATCAGTTCTCCCAATATATGTTAGACAAATTACGGTACTCCAAAGAGCACAGTGCACTGTCAAAACCAGTGGCGTAGCGTGGGGGGTGCAGGGTGGGCCGGCCGCACCGGGCGCAACATCTGGGGGGGCACGCTTGCACTCGCAGCTCTCTGCCCCTACCTGGCTCACTCACTCTCTCTCACTGCAGTGCTGGCTGTGCGAATCCGGATCCGAGCCGCTGGCTCGCCGCCCACTGTGGAGGGGGTGGGTGCCAGGCGTGCGGTGCGGAGAGAGAGCGAGGGACTATCTGGGGGAGGGACAGTGCAGCGGCCGCCCAGCGCAGCGCTGAGCGCGGGAGAGAACCACACCAGACCAGCCCAGGCAGCAGCAAGAAGAAGCTGGCAGCGGCGGCAGGTTAGGGGTTAGGGGGCGCAAATTACTTGCCTTGCCCCGGGTTAGGGGGCGCAAATTACTTGCCTTCTCCCGGGTTAGGGGGCGCAAATTACTTGCCTTGCCCCGGGTGCTGACAACCCACGCTACGCCGCTGGTCAAAACCACAACAGGCCAACTTATCTCACCTCCATCGGCTGATTAAAAAAACAAAAATTCTCCAAAATTTGGACAAAAGGAATACACACCCCTGCTGCTGACACCCATTTTCAAACATCTTTGCCCCTGATTATCCCAACAGTGGGAAGACCAAGGCAATTTAATATCAATTTATTTATGGCCCGAAGTATCCTTGATGGCCTGGTCTGCTATTTCATTACCTTGAATTTCCTCATGGGCTGGAATCCAACAAAACTGGATCCAAAGGCCCACTAAGCATACAGGGACCATATTCCATTCTGCAGCCAACAGTCCTTAGAAAGTGTCTGTTAAAATTACGAACCTATCTGGTCTCACATCCCTGAATGGCTCTAAAGTCAACATTAGAATCATCAGATCAGTCATCAATACTGAAACCTAATATGGCAAATTGAAATTCTTTCAAATCCTAAAGGCAGGAACACACAAAGCTTCACTTTTCCAGACTGCCCCTTTCTAGATCTATTGGCAAAGATAAGACAGTAACTTATATTTTCTGAATTAAACCCAGGAAGCATCATTCCCTTTGATGACTACAAGTGTGAGAACACATAGCTCTAGTAACTTATCATCTTCCCCAAAATGGCAACTAGTAGGCATTGCCCTAAGTTACAGTTAGTTACAAAGTTATGCGTATTAAGCTGCATTGCATATTACAGCCCCGAATCCAAACATGTATAAATTCTGCTTGAAAATAAAACATATTTGATCTAAAAAATTGAGAATGAAGGGGTTATTTTTTTACGAAGTCACACATTTCACCAGATTTATATCCCTAGAGTGTTTTATCTTGTGCAGAGATTTCTGCTTGATTTACTGGGTTCTACAGAAATTCTGAACTGGCATTGGACTTGTAGGCTGCAAAGTGAATTAGAGCAGTTATAGCATGTTACCTGACCTGATAGGTGTAATTCATCACATTTTAAATGTGGAGGGCACTTTGTAACACTTACTGCAGGCTGCAGAGGCAGTAATAATGACACCATGCCTTGCTTTAATGAGAGATTTCAAACAAATGAAGGGAAGTGTCTAATGGCCCTTCTAAACTTAAAAAACACTGGAGTGAACAATCAGAATTAATGTTGCAAATTATGTGCACACATTATTAAATCAAAATTAGGAATCAGTTTGAAACTGATTTTTATCATCTTTGTTGAGTGGAACCACTAAACACTCCCTCCCATTTGTGGAAATGGAATCCCTGGAACAGCAGTCGCTTACAAAAATCTGCATCTTACGTTAATACTTAGATGGACAGATGGCCCATATACTTGAGCAGAGCTATCTCTAACCTAGAAAAAAAAGGTTGCCAAAGGTTGTGAGCAATTCGATATTCTGCACCCTTATATTTGACTCATACGTTCTCTTGGTCTTTCAGTCCCCCCCCCCCAAAAAATGCTTCATAATTCAGAAACAAAACCCAATTACATGTCTTGACTCTGCCCTACCAGAATACCATTGAGATACCTGGGGCCCACATGAGAAAACAACTGTTGCATTCAGTTTCCTCAAATAACTGAGAAGTAAGCATGGAAGCTACCAGTTCAAATTCTGCTTCAGATATGAACCTACGAGGGATAGCTCTTCACAGCCTGTCAGCTTCAACCTTATATCTGTAGCCCTACTTTACAGGGCTATAAATTCCTGAGACTTTCTAAAGCACCATATACATGCTAATTAAAAGTTAACACAGCTTTTCATTGCCCACTGCAACTTATTTTCAATATTAATTGAATAAATAATGGTGAACACATACATATCTATATATCACATATACAACCACACATATGTGCAAATTGCCTGAGGTCCTGGAGAAAATGATTTCAGTAACACAGTAATATGACATGGGCCAGAGGTAAATTTCAAGAAGAAAAACATATCTGAAGCCACCTAGATAGTCAGCATGGTAAAAAATATTCCATGAATATTATTGGACAATACTAGACAATGTGTACGTGTAAGTGGATTGGGAAAGTACGATTCATTAAAATTCCAGTTTTCCTGCTTTCTTACAGTGTAAATTTATGTCACATTGTTTATCAGTTACTCTGCCAGATCCTGAATTTCACAGTTTCTCCTCTGAGTCGCTATATTTGTGTGCAGTCCCCTGCTGTTTTCTGTTTGCATATTCATAGCTGAACATGCCTTCCGACTTACTAGTGAGCATCTATTATGACTGTGATCTTTTCAGAGGCAGTTGTTCACATTAACTGAGGGAGAAATATTGGCCAACAAGATGTGTTTGTGCTGTGAGGCTATAACAGACAGTGTCATTGCAGAGGGCCCTTTCTAAGCAGCTGAATGAGGCTTTGTCTGCATTGCTTGGATCAGGGTGCTAATCTTAGAAAACCAAACGGTGCTTAATAATAATGCAAAGGTTGTCTTCCTTCCTCTCCCCCCAAACTTGTGCTGAGTTCATGTTACAAAATGAACTTCCTGCTGTATACAAAAATATAAACAAAGAGGCATAGGATGCTCCTAAAATACAAAAAACGGAACATGAAATTCACATTTTATCTGAACAAGTGTCAAACATATTTAATTAGCCGTCTCCTGGACCAGTGAGCCTTCTGAAACTAATGTTCAAGGGATGTAATCAAATTTGGCATAAGATAAACCAGAGAAATATGTTAAAGTCTCTGCTCAACAAGCAAAAATGTTCAGATCAAATTATAAACGTGTTATATTCATTAATACATACATACAGGACAAATGTTTAGTTTGCCAAACATTTGCCCTGTATGTATGTATTAATGAATGTACCGCATTTATAATTTGATCTGAAAATTTCTGTTTTCTCAATTAGAACAAGCCTAATTGAGAATAAGGATATTAAGCTCGGTACCAAAGTTGAAAGTCCACAAAGTGATACTTACCCCGTAGTTCTTATTATATGGAGCAGAAACGTAAGACAATGAAGAGCCCATTTGTACATTAAGTCCGCAATGTGAGAGATGCTGTAGCAGGTCTGCATCCCATGGTGTTCTGGTAGTATAAGAATTCCAAGGTCACTTGAGAGGAATCAGTTTTGCAGCTACATGAGTGTCACCAACTGCAAGGTTCCATGGTGGTCCTAGTGTGGGAAGTATCTATGGGTTAATATATAACTAAATTGTTCTCAGAGTAGACCCACTGAAATCAGTAGATGAGTTATTAATTTTGTAGGTCTACTCTGAGTATGACTACCACTGGATATCACCCCACATCTGATTCCACTCAGTGTTTCTACATTATGAGAGCATCATCAGAAAAGCCATGCGACCACCAGAGGTGTGGGAGTCAAGTGTAATACAGAAGAAAAGCCCCTAAAATAATCAGTGAAAACCAACTGATATTTTGGCATTTGTAGATTTGGAATCTGGGTTAAATACTGCCAGATTATGTGGGATTTAGCAAGACACTATACAGCGGTACCTCGGTTTAAGAACAGTCTTGTTTACAAACAATTCAGTTTATGGACTCCGCAAAACCAGAGGTTGTGTCCCGGTTTGCAAACTTTATCTCAGTCTAAGAACAGAATCCAAATGGTGGAAGGGCACCAGCAGTGGGAGGCCTCATTAGGGAATGCACGCCTCGGTTTAAGAATGGTTTTGGTTTAAGAACGGATTTCTGGAACGGATTAAATTTGTAAACTCTAAATTATGTCTCTAAATTATGTATCTGTAAACAGAGCTCAGCCACAAAAATTTGACAAGATTCCATTTTTGGTTTGTTTTTTGTAACAGAAACTATAATTTAAATCTGGTAAACCAGATTATAGATATATTGATATAGAGAGAGATTATAGCTATAACTCGGAAAATCTTATTGCAAGCAGATGTACCATATTTTTTTAAGTGCCATTTCCAAGCTAAGTTATGGGGCTCCTATGTCTGGGCCAAAGATCCAATTTATATTAAAAAGACAGCCTATATTGGCTCTAATCTTGACCCAGAAATGTAGCTTTCATCAATTGGAAATTTCATCTTCCAATTGTCCTAGGTTAACATCAAAGGATTACCTTTTAAGGGTTTCGGGCATTGGTATTTGACACATAATAGGGTTACATTATATTTGTAAACAGTCCAAAGTTCTATAAGAAACATTATGGTAAAGTTGGATCATATTGTCATTTGTGGAGGGCTTGTCCTAAATCCAAAGATAACAGGATATTCCATACTGCTAGAACTGACTGCAGTGTATTCTAATTTGTCCCTCGCCCCCAAGACAGTAACACCATTCCATAGATCAGAAGATAATTTATAGTGCTGCTGTATATATGCTGCCATTTGAAACTTGGCAGGTGCTTGTTCTGTTTGTTTTATTTCAAATATTTCTAAGCTGCCTTTTAAAACAATTGTCTTCCAAGATAACCACACTAATCAAAAAGTTGCTAAATAATAAACACTAAAACCATATACAGCTCCCGAACAGCTCTGTTATCAAACGTTTTAGCTCCTGAACTCCAAAAACCCAGAAGTAAATGCTCTGGTTTTCAAATGTTTTTAGGAAGCTGAACGTCCGATGAGGCTTCCGCTTGAGTGCAGGAAGCTCTTGCCACCAATCGGAAGCCTTGTCTTGGTTGTCGAACGTTTCAGAAGCCAAACAGACTTCCAGAATGGATTGTGTTTGACACCTGAGGTTTGATTGTATTTACTCATTACAAATAAGCCAGATACAGTATAATCTATAATGTATTTTGGAAAATTGTTTGTTCACTATGCATTTGGACACCTTTTAAGATATTCTAACCAAAATTTGCCTTACTGTTCCTGAGCAGGTTTCCATATATGTTTGGATACAACTGGACACCATTTTGAATCAAGATGGATTGAACCACTTAAAATTTCAGTGATTAATTACCAATTTCAAAACTGCAAAACCCCTTTCATTTCATGAGCCCCTGTAGAGTTGCCACCAATGAGATCAAATAATACTGAGTGAGATGACCAATGGAGTGACTCGGTATAAGGCAGCTTCATATCTCATATGCTGGAATAGGGCATATCTAGGATACAGTGCATTAATGGAGCTCAGTGCGGGACTGCAAAATGTAAGAGTCTTAATTACCTATCACAATTGCTGGTTGTGTGAGGAACTTTTTGTTAACTACTTATACTAATGATATATTCAGAGCACAGCAAAAGCTTCCTGTAATGCTAATTTGATATTTGACTTTATGCATAGCTCATCCTTTGTCCTGTAATGAGACTGTGTTCTGTATGTCAATGAATGCTGAGCAGACATCTTACTTTCTAAGAAGATACACATAAAACTGATGGATGCCAAGGCAAACGCTTATGAAAAATACTCGGAAAACAAGATAATTGCCAAGCAAAACTTTCTCTGCTCAGGCCATATGGAGAAAGCAGAGGAACACTGAATGAGTGTTTTGTTTATGAAGATGTACAAAAAATGCTAATGTATACTGAGGGAACATCTTTCTGCTGAAGATATACGAGGAATGCTGTCAAATTCGAAATGGGTTTTTGCTAACAATGTGATAAGGGTGGCACTAATAGCTCCAGAGTAGAGGGTAGACCCTATGCTTTTCACAAAGTATAAAGAAGAAACGAATTATTCAACTCTAAAAGCATGGTTAGCCCATACTCATAATTATGAAAAATATATTACCAACAGTGGCATCAAGGACAGGCTCAGCTATAGGTCTTCTCAATCTTCTGGCCAAAAGAACTGGAGTAGCTTAATTGGATGCAGCAAGAAACTACTCTTTACAGTACAGGAAGCCTCAGACTTAATTTGCAATCAGCTTCCAGCCGTGGAGCTCTTCCTGGAATGATTATGTGGGCCACATGACACTGCATGGTCACATGATGATTCCAGGACGAAGAATCGTCTGGCTAGAAGCTGGCTGCGAAGAGTTTGTTAATGTAAAAAAGGTAGCTTCATCCACTCTACCAGGTCTTACAAATGTTTCTGCAAAGGTCTCTTGCGCCCCACAAAAAAGGTAGGGGGGGGAGGAGAATGCTTGTATCGTGGGAGGCCAAACATTTGAAAAAAGAAAAAAGCCTACCCCAAGAATTCAGCACAGCCTTAATGTACAACCTATTTCTCTTTTAACACAACATCTGAGCTTTACCATCTCTAACAGGCACTTATTCAACGAGGAATATTCACCCCTGCAGTTGGCAAATCTGCTTCAGAATATTTAGTCCTGGACTTAAGAGCACCTGCAGCTTTTTTACGTAGTATTATTTGGCAACACATTTGAATCATGTGACTAATTCTAACAGCATCCACTAAAATAAAATTACTAATGGCTCCAGCCTGGAACTTTGTCCCAGAACACCCATGTAAGTATCCTGTATTTTTGTCCCAATTCAAAATGTTCTTTTTGGAAGAATAAAAAACAACAATCCTTAGTTCTTATCTTCACAAGAGAACTTATCTTTCAGGTTTGGAGCTGACAGCCTTGGATATGTTCCGACTGACATTTCAAATCTTATGTCCATCTTTAAAAGACTATTTTTCTGTGTCTGTGAAATGCTTCAAAACTGCAAGGAGGAGGGTGTGTGTGTGTGTGTGTGTGTGTGTGTATATATATATATATATATATATATATATATATATATATTGTGGTGGGGGAGTGAATGCCTTTGGATGATCTGCTTCTGAAGCAATTAAAACAGTTTTCAGGAAGCCACACACACATATTTTTAAAAAACTTTATTCATGCCAAATTTCCCCTTCCTACAGCAGTTACCAGGCTTTAACTAAGAGGAATGAAGTCTTATTAATTCATGCTCTCCGCCCAAACAGAGAAATGGGGCTTTCTTCCAAGACTGTAACCTCTTTATCTTTATCTTAACTAATCAGTATGTACAGCCTGAAAAGAGATTTAAGAAAAACAATCTAACTCAGCTGTCTAAAGTTATTGCAGGGTCTGCTGTGAAGATGTAAAAGCAGCAAGAACAATGGTTACAATATTGTTTGATCACAATTCAGTTATAAAATATGGATTACATAACTAAGTGAATCACAGAGATCTCTGAGATGCGGGAGAAAAGAGAGGAGGCTGTTGAAAGGCATAAGGTTCGCCATGTGCACGCTCTATTCATGTTTGTCTTCACTCCTTTCGGGCAAAACTAGGCATGCTGGTAGATAGAAGAACATAGAAAACCAATTCTTGTTTGTTTTTTTTTCAATTTTAGTAATATTATGTTGTGGCAATATGTAGCAAAAGCCATTATGCATCAACCACCATTGCTTCTCATGGGAAAAAGGGGGGAGACAAGGGGGGGGACCAAGGAAATGACATAGGAAGAAGGGAGAGGGACAAATACCGTATTTTTCGGCCCATAGGACGCACCGGCCCATAGGACGCACCTAGTTTTTTGGGGGGGAAATAAGAAAAAAAAATATTTCCCGCCCAGATGCGGGGCTGGGGCAGGGGAAGCCCGAGCTTCCCCCGACCCCAGCCCCCAGAACAGGCTGCTATCCGCAAGCCGTTGGAGAGCTGCGCGAAGTCGCACAGCTCTCCCACGGCTAGCGGAGGACTGCGCGAAGCCCGAAGCTTGGGGCGCGCTGAGCTCAGCGCGCCCCAAGCTTCTGGGTGCCGGCAAGCTGCGTCTCCCACGGCTAGCAGATAGCTTCCTGAAGCCTGGAGAGCGAGAGGGGTCGGTGCGCACCAACCCCTCTCGCTCTCCAGGCTTCAGCGAAAGCCTGCATTTACCCCATAGGACGCACACACATTTCCCCTTCATTTTTGGAGGGGAAAAAGTGCGTCCTATAGGGTGAAAAATACAGTAGTTTTTTGCATGGACAAAGTCAAGAAAGGTAGTTCATGGTGCAACTCACAATGTGCAAGCTTCACAATCTGCTGGAACTGGAGTTCCCAACCCAAGTCAGCACTAGCTTGGTGCTGTAGAATGGCAAGCCAAAGGTTACAAACAACTTGGCCCATGCACTCTTTGCAATAATGAGCAGTCTTTAAATATTAAGCATGAAGAGCAGTGCAGTGCAAATGGGAAAACGATTCTTACTATACCTACTTGAAGTCACCCTCCAGTCATAGGCACCGTTTTATGTAATGTTAGTATGATAATTGGCTGCTTTTGTGCCATTTAGCAACAATGCCACTTACTAACTGCTAAAGTTTATACAGTGGTGCCTCGCAAGACGAAGTTAATCCGTTCCACGAGAGTCTTCGTCTAGCGGTTTTTTCGTCTTGCGAAGCAAGCCCATTGACGGATTAGCGCTATTAGCGCTATTAGCGGTTTAGCGGCTATTAAAGGCTTAAAGGCTTAGGGGATTAGCTGCTAAAAGGCTATTAAAGGCTATTAAAGGCTTAGCAGATTAGATAAAGGGGGAAAAGCGAAAAAAATCTCAAGACTCGCAAGACATTTTCGTCTTGCGAAGCAAGCTCATAGGGGAATTCGTCCTGCGAAGCAACTTCAAAACGGAAAACCCTTTCGTCTAGCGGTTTTTCCGTCTTGCGAGGCATTCGTCTTGCGGGGCACCACTGTATTTTTAAATAATAGGCTAAATACATTGTTTCTTTATCCCAGCAAGCTTGAGATCTGTTTGCACCTAATTGTCTGTTGAACACTTCCTATACCTTTTCTTGCTGCAAATTGCAGACTTGGGGATTTAACATCACGCCCAATTCACCCCACACCATTTTGCTAAACATGCAGCCCGAAAGAGTAATTGAGAACTCAAAAGTGGAATCTCTATTTTCTGACGTTTTGGTTGATCCTAATAAAGGTCACCTCCTAATAACTGTCACTATTTTGTGAGAGGGTTTCATTGGCATACCAGAAATTTAGCTTGGTGGTTTAAAGCAGTTTGGTACAACAAACTAACTTTAAAAAAGAAATACTTTTTTACGGTCTGCAAAGTTATAGGAAATGTACTTTAAAAAAGTATAGGATAACAACTGATTGACAGGAAAATTTATAACTTCCCTATAATCAAATCAGAACAAATGGACACCATGTACCGGTAACTTCTTTGAAAGCTTTGGGCAAACTATGAATGAATGCTCAACAAACATGTCTGTAGGAGCCGAAAGGCATTATCCTCTTGGATTTCTCATATTTTGGATCAATATGGCTACCTGCACTATTTGATAGCAACTTTAAGTGCTACAGACGGGGATGGTATCGTTTCTACACTCTGCCCAGTGCCTTGCATGCTGTTCATTTTTGCAGTAACTGCAATGTGGTAAACTGAAAAGAAGAGGCTTATTTATCTCAATGAGTATACATTGGTTTCTTCTTATTTAAGAACTCTCTATTTAATGGGGATAATAAATCCTAACAATAATATTTGGTTTATAATAAGGATTGGGAACTGTGGCCCTTAAGATGTTGTTGGGCCTATAGCTCGCATCAGTCCTAGCCAGCATGGCCAACAGGGAGGGTTGATGGGAGTTCTAGAAGGCCAACCCTGGTTTATAATGTGTTATTAGTTGCTATGAGCCCAGTGCCATATGAAATGCATGGCGGCACCTTTCAGAAAACCCAAAACTGACTACTTGGTATCTTGCAAGGGATAACATCAGTTTAAAGTGTTTTCTATGATACATGGTTCTTTAGCATTCAGTAGTAATTCCCCATCCCCCACCCAATTTGAATCAAGACTGAATTGGATTCTCTGGAATGTGTCAGCTACTGTGATTGCTTTATTATGCCACTCCTAGCTTATCAGATTTTAAATTACCATATAAATCTACATACTTAGACAATAGAAGAAACATCGGTTTAAATGTATCTAATCTCATTTTCAAAGTTAGATAAGAAATAATCAGCACTTTAAAATCAAAGTGATAGCCCTAAGCTAGGATCTGGGAGTCTTAGCAAAATTATCTACACCAATCATCATTAACGATAATAGTACTTGCAAAGCAGAAAACACTGCTGTAATTAATTGTAACACCTACAGGGTGAGAAGAACCAGGAGAAAACCTTCCCAAATTACATATTATTTGCTAAATTGCAATGCCATGATACAAAGACAGTTACTATATGCCAACAAAAAACAGTTCTCTTTCATTCTCAACATTAACAATGACTCTTAACATTCTTAACAATGGTCTCAACCTCAAAGCTCATATTATTAGAAGGGTACTGGATGTGAGTCATGTATTCCATTGGATTATTTTGGACTTGTGCATGACCATTGTGCTGCTGTTCTAAAAGTGTGTATCTCATGAATGAAGATAAAGACTAAGGGATAGGACACAGGGATTGGATTCAAACTAGGTACAACACATGATAATCAACAGTTTTAATGGTATCATCACAGATCTAGAGTCAGCCCCTCAGGCAGGCTCTGAGGTCACCAAGGAGGCAAAAACTAGGTGGTATCATCAAGCCTTTTATTGGCATCACATACAAACATCCATAGCAAATCAATACAGAATTACCACTTTCCCAGTGACACAAAACATTTGTCAAATGAAAGAGGCAAAGCAGTCTAACATTACATCTCTAGGTCTCCAGGGAGATCAGATGTCTGCAATGTGTTTCGACGACAAAAAAACAGCTAAAGATATTTAGCCACTAACTTGGTGAGCTCCTGATTATTCCCCAATACCAGAAAATGTATGACCTCTAACTCTGGTTTCCATTTGGGGATGCAGAGTTGATCTAGGAACTGCTGGCAGAGATCAACATATAGTTTACATCTAAGAACCGTATGTGTAAGAGTTTCCACCTGATGGTCTTCACATGGGCAAATTCGTTCTCCTCCCCCATTCCCGAGAACCTTCCCCATAGGAGGTTTGAAGGATTAGAATTAAACCTGGCCAGCGAAAATGCCC